CTGCTTCTGTGTAGTTAATAGGCTGCACATTAGAGTTATAAGGTTTTGATTGGCAAGCTAAAATATTGTATGACTTTTTATCCAGGAAAAATTGTATTTAGCTATGGTATTTTTTTAAAAGTAGTATTGGAAACAACAGTGTGTATTTAACCATTTGACTTGAAATAACGAGCATGCTGTGAGTATTTATAGTAGCTGGTAATGCATAAAATCTGTAGCCTGCTGTTATGGCTTCAAGCATGCATACAGCTTGTGGATTATGCATGTGTATTAGAAAAATCCCTTTTGTCTGATTTCCCCCACTGGCTTCATAATAGATCACATCTGACAAAGAAGTATACTATTTAAGAATCTTAGCTAGATCTTTTCTGTGGTCTCAGTATGTTTGGAGATTTTAATTTAATACACAGGGAAAAAAATGAAAAGTAAAAAAAAAAAGAAAGAAAGAAAGAAAATAAAAAGATATATCTACCACCTCATTTTCCGGGAAAACTCCAATAACTTTCACAGAAGTCCCACCTTTTTCTTACACTTTGTAAAGGAATATGTTTTCTTCCCAGCAAACAGAAACTGGCTAGAAACTCTAGCTTAGAAAATACGGTTTCTGAATGGCTTTTCAAGACTGGGAGACTGTGGTTCTGCTGTGTTTATTACTTTCCCCTTCACACTTAACTAATCGTGTTACTACATTTGAAAGTAATCCTCACATCTTCAGAATTTAATGTCTTCTGTTGCTCGTATATGTGATTTAAACATTTTAAGAACTGATGTCGGTAATTCCCTATCCTCACCCATGATTGTTCTCTGCTAAAATGGCAACACACGCAAGGAAGTTATGAAGCTTTGATCTGTTTTGTATACAGTATAAATAATATTCTTTTCTGACAAGCTGTCCACATTGGAGCTTTAATATTAGCTTAGAGGGGAATAAACTGTTTCCAATATTGCTGTTATGTTCTGTGTTTACCATCCAAACAGGTCTTAAAATCCTTTAAACTCTTCCCAGAAACACATTCTCAGAATGCTTTAAAAGATTACTTTATTTTTAATAATACTTTCAGGGTTACTATGCTGCTTCTTAAAAGATAGATTCCCTGCATCAGTTTATGGCCAGGCTGTATGCATTTTGTTGCAGCAATACCAAGGCAAGTAAGACCAAGTAAAAGTCTTGTGGAAACCATAGCCAGGACTGCCTAGTTTAAAAGGAAAACAAACCAAAACAAAACACCTCAACAGCTTAAAGCACAGAAACAATGTTTTGTAATGTGGGAATTGTTGCGGGACTGAATCCTCCTTTCAGAAATGTTATACTTACCTCTTCATACCCCATAAAATAAACTGCAGAGCTTATGTGGATTTTCCTGTGTTCTTTAACACACTTGACAGCACGTTGGAAGCAAAGTCTGAAACTTCAGCATCTGAGGCCTCTACACTTGCCAAGTCTTTATGGTGCTGAGGAAAACCAAATATGCAGGAAAGCCACAGGGCTATGCTACACAGCATGCTTCTCCCTGCTGTGCTCAGTGGCTTCCTACCCTTTGAACCTCTGTGATACCACAGTGGTGTTGAAAGAAAATACAGTAGGCAGAGAAGTAGAAGAGGACATTTAGGAGTCATTGAGCATCTGATCAGGTGATTTGGAGAGCAACTAAACTGATAACCATTACATTTAACTCAGCTGACAGACCCAGGAGCTCTGGTTTTGTTGTTGCTTTGCCCCTGCCATACAGAGGGTATATATGCTGACCCAACAGGCTACTTTTATTTAGCAGCTCTCCTCCAGACACTTAGGTGGAGAAGGAAAATACATCATAATTGCTGTGAAAAGGAGCACCGCTAAGTAAAAAATCTAATGGAATGAAGAGACTGAATAGTGCTAGAAATTACTCATCTCTCAATACTTTGATCATAAAGGAGTATTTCACTTATGTTTTATTTGGTTCACCAGAGTGATTTGGACTCTTGGATCCTCCTCCTTTCAGTGCTGCATCATCTGAAGCCATAAAGAATTAACTTTTTCCTAGGCAACTTTCTTTATTTAAATTGCCAACCTAGTGGGGACTCCAGCTTTTATCCATTAGGGTTTTTATATATTTATTGTTTCTCAGGTGAGAAATGCTTGGTATGTGCACTGGAAATGGCTTAACATATCCTACTCTCTATTTCAGTGTGAACAAACTACCAAAGAATTTTGATTAGATGCATTCTGCAAAAAGGCTGTAATACAAACCACAGTTTGTGGAAGGATTTACAAAGCCATTTTACAAAAAAAACAAAAACCCAAAACCAGACCAAAAAAAACCACCACCAAAATGGAAACCTTGTACAATTTGATCCAGACCCTCTTAAAAATTTCACCAGATGGAGAAGATGGAATGATATCATTTAGCTGGAAAAATTCTGTTGCTTGTTTAGTAGACAGTAAATTTCAATGTGGCAGCTCCTCAGATTATAAAACTAAGTCTGTTGTACAGTCTCATCTGTTATTTCAGCCATTCAAATGACTTTCAAGAGAGAAGTGTCTTGCCACACTGAGTCTTACTGTTTTTTATTTTAATAGAAGCATGGTGAGTGGCTGAATGGATAATTCCAGTCAAAACTTTGTATAATTAAAAAGTAAAAACCACAATTTGTGGCTTCACTAGAAATTATACAGATGTCGCTTCAGAAAATTGCTGGAAGCTGATGACAAAGCTTTATGATTTTTCAGTGTATTGCCATTTATCTAATCTTTATTATATGTTAACGCTGAATTGCTTCCTTAATTAATGCTTTCTCCCAGTGTTATCATATCCTTTTGGCAGAAGGAGTTACACTGTCTTTCTCTTTCAGGTCCCCTGCAATGGCTGGTGGGTTGTTTGCTATTGAACGCAATTTCTTCTTCGAACTGGGTCTCTATGATCCAGGTCTTCAAATTTGGGGTGGTGAAAATTTCGAAATTTCTTATAAGGTAACACCAAAAATTGAAAACTAATTCAGTTTAGTGTATATTTTTTCTGTAAATACTTCTAATTGGAGTTCAGACAGTCCTACCTCTGGTTTGCACCACTTCTGTCCCATGAAGCCCAGTAGGTTTTGTTGTAGGAGATGTTGTGGCAGAGATGTGTGTCCTCGGTGTTTCCTTGTGAGCTTTCAGGCAGAGGTGTTCACAGAAGTGGCCTAGTGCTGAGACCCGAATGCTGAATAATCTAGATTTTGTTAATGGTTTGGGATCACGCACACCCCTAAATATCTAATCTGAAACCAGACTGGCAAATTTGATGGGGGGAGCCGAGTGCTCTCATGGTGACTGTAGAAAAATGTTGCTTCTAATGAAAGTGATTATAGAGAACAAGTAGCACTCAGTTTATGTGTAGATGCCTGTAAAGTATATAACGATGCAACAAAAGTACTCTGCCCTGGTTTCCTCCTCCCTGCCATTTCTATGGGTGAAAAATGATCTCATATACTTTACAAAAATTCAGTAATTTCTTTACAAGATAAGTCTTTGTAATTGAAACACTAACTGCATAATTCATAATCATTGCAGAATATTTTATTTTCACTCCTAGGCATATGCATGCTCTTCAGTTAGCAGGAAGCATAAGATGATAATCATTAGCTTCTTGTAGCTTCAGTATTCATAATGACAC